TTAACACTGCATCGGTGGCGCGGGGCATACAGTTCCCCACTATAGGTTTCATTGCTCATAGCTCTGGAGTGGGGATGGTTATGTCTACCCACATTCAGGTAATCTTTGACAGTAGTGTGTATAACGTGCTAGTATAGTGGAGGTATTTTTGTTTGCGATAGAGTGATTGTAATTCACGAGAAAAGTCACAGTGGGGTTACGCAGTACCCCGTGCCACCACTTGCGCGATACTTGTGTTTCTCGATTTTATTTCTCTGGTGAGTTTTCTTCAATTCATTTTACGTATCCTAGAGATTATAATTGTTGTATTTACTGGGCTAGACAATGGCATATGAAAAAACTAGTAGAGATCCAAACCAGTGGGCGAAGTGGTTGGAGGAAATCGAACAGGAGGAAGTTGCTAATGAATGGTCAGAATCTAGCTCAGAAGACGAAGAAATAGATGAGGTGGAACAAGAAATTCATGAGTCTGACACAGAACAAGAAACGGATGATATTCCAGAAGAGCATAACATCGAACAAGAATCTGAAAGAAGCGAAATACAGAATGAACGACTGCATGAGGCAACACGTTCTGGACCTTATTACATAGGTAAAGACGGTAAAAGTAGGTGGGATAGTATGGTGCCTGCTACGTCACGCACTAGACTTCACAATATAGTCGTGAAAGTACCCGGTCCTCTCGGAGCTGCCAGAAACGCCAAAACAGTATTGGAATGTTTTCATGTTTACGTGAGCAATCCTATGATAGGTTTCATCACAAACTATACCAATATAAAGATTCGGACACTCCAAGAAAAGTATACACGTGCAAGAAATGCTAAACCTACAGATGAATGCGAAATGGAAGCATTTCTTGGAATTTTATACATAACAGGTGTTCTAAAAGAAGGTAGACTAAATACTGAAGATATTTGGAGTAATGATGGGACTGGGGTAGAACTCGTTTATTGCACAATGTGCCGTGCTAGATTCAAATTTTTATATCGTTCTATTCGATTTGACGACATCCGTGACAGGCCTGAAAGACGCGAATTGGACAAACTAGCGCCTATACGAGAGCTGTTTGAATTCTTTGTGAACAATTGCTCTTCGTCATATATGCCAAGCAGTTTTCTCACTGTTGACGAACAACTCATCGCATTTAGAGGGAAATGCCCATTTAGACAATACTTACCGTCCAAACCAGCCAAATACGGCATAAAGCTTTTTTTGCTTGTGGATCCGAAAACGATGACGACTATCAATCTCGAAGTTTACTGTGGTAAACAGCCAGCTGGTCCCTACATGGTATCGAATTCGCCTAGTGACGTTGTCAAAAGACTTGTTCAACCGATAAAAAACACTAACAGAAATGTCACAATGGACAGATGGTTTACCAGTTTTCCTTTGGCCATGGACCTCCTCACAGAATTTAAACTAACTGTACTTGGAACCATAAAAGCTAATAAACGGGAAATTCCACCATGCCTAATACCTACAAAAGGAAGAGCATTAGAAAGTTCGATGTTTGCTTTCCGGACAGAATGCACGCTTGTGTCTTTTGTACCAAAAAAAAACAAAAATGTTCTGATGCTTTCAACGATGCATCATTCAGATGAAATCGACAAAGATACCAATAAGCCAGCCATGATTGTAGATTATAATCACACAAAGTATGGCGTCGATGTGGTGGATAAAATGTGTGTTATGTACAATGTGACTAGAACTACTAGAAGATGGCCTTTGACAGTCTTTTTCGACATACTCAACATAGCAGGAATAAATGCTTTGAATTTATATGTGACTAATGGTAAACTTCAAAAGCTGGCTAGACGAAATTTTTTGAAATGCCTATCATTAGAACTTGTTAGGCCTTGCATAATTCGCAGAATTTACAATAAGAATGTACCAAGACCTATTCGCCAGAAGGCACGGAATATGCTAGGAATACAAGAAGCTCCTAATAATCAAGACGAAAACGTTCGAGAGAGAAAAACAGGTCGCTGCATTATATGTCCCCGAAAAGACGACAAAAAGACCACAGTGAGATGTGGCGAATGTCGAAATTTTGTCTGCAAAAATCATCAACATGCTATATGCGCTAGATGTTATAAAAACGACAGTGGCGAGAGTAGCGAGCAAGGGGATGAATAAAATAGAGTCTTGTTCTTTTTTTTTTAGATAGAATAGATTAGTTTTGTCTCCAGTTTACATAGTACAGTATTAGTTAATCTACTAATGTTACAAGAACGTATGCTTCGTATTCCTGTTTGTGCTAGTAAATTTATTTGAATAAAGGATATTTCTATTATTACGATTATTGTTTAATGCTTTATATAATTACCTACTACTTTTTTTGTTCGAATATAACTACGTTAATTATGAACATATAACGTTTTATTGTGTTTATACCCGAGAAATACATATTTTCAATGATGGGGTATACAGTATCCCACGCCACCACTCGTGAGTGGAAAGCGAACGCCACCGACGCAGTGTTAAAAGCAAATGTGGAGGCCTGTTACATTAACGTGCAAAATTGGCTCCATCCAACGTTCGTGAACCGCTTTACCAAGAAATAATCCCCACCAGATGTTTTGAAATAACCAGTGCAGATGTTTAGCATAGGGTCTAAATACTCTAAATCGTCCATGGTTTTCGCTGACCGATAATCAGGTTTTCCTTTCGTACTTAAATGCCCAAATCAAAACAATATTGAACTTCGAAATACACCAATAGCGAATCGGCAGTCCCCAGCGCAGTGGCTGTTCACTCACCCCATGGTGTAACAACTATATGAACCAGGAAAAGCACTTGAACCACTTACATCGTATAGAAACTACGCAAAAAATGCTTACAACCAATCCGCTCGTCCTTGACGTACTCTCAGCCCACGTGACACTGTTCGTCTCCAAGACCATATTACCAAACGCTAGATTAAAAAAGCTACAGTTGTTTGCCAAGGCCCAACAGAAAGGTCCTATATTCTTACATGGCATTCAGGAAAGGACACAAGAAGAAACCGGATTGATTGAATGTTAACGATCAATATATTGTTTAAACGGCGGATTTATATAACTTACCAACATTGGAACTACAAAAATATTTTTTTTTTGTAATTGGAAGGTAGTAACAAATATCGTTAAAGAAAGATCAGGTGTCGGGAGGTTATTTCTATTTATTTATTCTTGCCTTTGTTTTTGAGTGGGCGGGGTTTCATCCAAGGCTGCTCTACCAACTCAATCCACTATGCATTTCCAAATATCCATGCCCGAACCTGGATTCGAACCAGGAACCCACACGGGCCGGTATCTGGTGACAGTTGCGTTGGTCAACATATTGTTGCTGGAGTCCATGTTTCTTCCGAAAATAGCGAACGTGGCCCAGTTATTTTATGTTGGGCTAAAATTGGCGGTATAATGCTTCTTTGTGGTAGGAGCCACACTTGTAACGTTGTAAATTTAGTTACTTGGATTTGTGACCCTAACGCAAGTGCATGGCGGTAGTGGGTGGTGGCTATGGAGAATTTAATGCATTTGTTAATGTAGCGATACAAATTTGTATAATTATTCTAGAACGTTGAGAATGAATAATTTAGGGAACGAATAATTGAGTTGCTGTCTAATTTTCGTAAAACATGCTGCGCAATTATTTAGATTGGTATTTACAGGTTAGCTAAAGATTTATCTAACATGGCTCTGTCAATAAACGTTGGAACATTTATTCCCCGGAGTATCGACTTTGAGCAGCGTCTTAAAATTCTTGAATGTATATAAAATTGTAATAAATCTTTTATTGGTTCTTGATATAAATAAGAAATAGACTTTAGCGGAACCTAACAAGGCAAGTCGTCTTTTAAAATGAGATTTTTTCATTTGATCCATTACCATAACTCATTATTTATGAACTCTGGAAATTTTGTTGCAATATTTTCAAAACCTTCACCTTCTCTTTCTCGCAGTATTTGGTTAAAAGGATTGTAGAGAGGACTTTTATAAGATTTCTATAAAATGAGACTTTTAAGTTTGAAAGGTTTCCAAAAGTTTCCTACGATATTCCATTCAGTATTCAGGCAAATTGAACTTCATACACATTACTTTCGCGATAAAAGTCTAGTTAGTATGCGGATAATTAGTGACTTTTTACATCGATATTAAAAATTCACTCCCGCCAGGTCTCTTTTAACTTAGGAGAGTTTTCCTACCTACCTTACAGTTTAAATGGTAATTTCGCGTCGTAATCTTTTATAGTACACTTACTAATTAGAATTTATTAGTAATGTATGGGGAAGCATACATAATTATTTAGCCTATTTTATTATTCACTTCCTCAAATGTGAAATTTAGAGTTTATGGTGAAAAACAAACATTTCTCCCCTGTTTCCTACATTGCAAGGTAGAAATTCAGTAATCCAAGATTTTTTTGGTTAGTGTTACGGTAGAATTATCCAGGTATGTTATTTCTTTTGTCATCAAGAATCAATTTATGTGGTTTTGAAGTTTAATGTTACGTCACTGGCGAAATCAAAATACAAAAAGGAGATGCCACCGGGATAGCTACACGGCGCTTGAAATCAACTGCAAATGTTTGCCTCCACTCCATTTTTTTGTGACTACCCCATTGAAACGGTGTAATAATCAAATACACGAAAGGTAAATTTTGACCAATTAAACTGAACAGTATAAATAACAGTAACATTAAATTTATAACAGCTTGAGATGAATTGATTTATAACAGTTAATCACTCTCATATGCATAATTTATAACAGCCTGAAATATTTATTACTTTGGCGTTGGAATTGGAACTGCACTTTCACTTACATAGCAAACAAAATTCTTTCTAGATTGTTCTCGAGCGCTCAAGGACGCTGCAGATTGTTCTAGAACAAACAAGTCATATTTTTATGAAGGAATCGGCCTTCGTTCTTTATATTTGAATCGTGGTGCCTTGGAATACCACCTCCAGTATATTGCGCACGATGGACCACTCCCGCTTATCAAGACCACACCCAATGTCTGGAATTGGAATTTGTAATTGTTGTTATTCCAACCAGATTTATGCCAAGACCGGTCATTTGTTACCAGATAATAATGAAATCGCCCCTATTCATGTAGGAAACACATTCTACCTACATCGGGACGTTGAAGGTATATTTCGCTTAAGCGCCCAAACCCGAACTTGAATTCCAGGGACATCTTGACATCATTGGCTGCGAGGTGAGCCAAAGCATATTATGCTCCTGCTTCAGACAAATCTTGAGATTCCTTACGGACAACACCAAAGCGTGCCCTTTTAATTCAGAGTAATGTGCCATGAATGGGATTGGATAGAGGTTCTATCCGGTTTTTACAGGTCCGGTTGAAATTTGTTACATAAACGTAATTCGATGGGATACAACACTTCAACTCAATCCGACAAGCTTAGGAGATTAACTTCAACGCGTCTACTTCGGAATTCTTTCAAATGGACCACCCTCATTGGTGATTTCTTCTTTCCTACTGACCCGTTGCTTGTGGCTCAAACTGCACATTTTCTGCACCATTCCCTCACATCTTGTTTGCAATTCATCCAGTAGAATCCAAGGTTTTCGTCATTCCTAGTTGCCCTCCTGATATACCATGGTTGTAGTACTTTCTGACTACATTTGTGGTCGTGCCATCATCATTTTCCACAACCCTCTCAAAAAGTCCATCTCCTAACTGTAACGGGTCCCATCGTGTAATTTTAATTTGGTAATTTGGGAAGAAGGGCGGCAAAATACCCAATTTGCCCCCGTACTAAAAACTTCTAGATCCGCACTGCGTCGGTCCCTACGACAAACTTCTGCCCATACAAATACTTATGGAAATGTCCGTAATGACGACCAGCAATTCCCTTCTGCGTTCTGCGTTCTGGTTTACTGAAACGTTCGATGACTCTCTGGTGACGATTCTGCCTTTGGGACAGTAGAGCACCCATTCCAACATTGCTAGCGGCCGAAATCTCCTTCTCTTCTAGGATAGCTGAGCACCGGGGCCGTAAGTAAAGCTTGTTTGAAATCCTCAAAAGCACATGCATCATCCCATTTGAAGTCAATGTGTTATTTTTGTTGTTCTTTTGGCTGGGGTCCACTGTCACTCCATTCTTCGAAACCAGATGACCAAGGTATTTGACTTCCTTTTTAAAACGGTGACACTTCCTTGTACTAAGTTGAAGGTTGGCACCGCGCAACCTCCTGAGCACATCTTCCAAAGCCTTGAGGTACTCTTCAAACGATCGACCCAATTAGGTCATCCAAATACACAAGCTCTCTGAAGCAAACACATCTTCGTACCGGGAAATTAACCTCTTGTCTGGTCCTTTTGGCTTGTCAAATTCTGACGTGGATTACTCCAAAGTGCCATCATCCTTAGCTGTCTTCACAAACCATGCCACTGCAGCTACTACTGGGACACATATCCCAATCTCAGCGCCCCAGTGTTTGTTTCCATATCGAGCTTCCAACCGTGATACAATACGAAGTCCTTCTGCTGGTGTTCTAGAATCATGCGGAAAACACCCATCGCATCTTCACGTAAAGCAACCATCAGAAAAGTTACCTTTTCTTCCACAGTCCACTTATTTCTATCTGCGGCGGCTGTTGGTGGCGTAACCCGAACTTTCGTCATGCCAATACTCTCACACGTTTCGGGGGGGGGGGGGGGGGGGGGGGGCGATTATGGAACACAGCAAGTAGACCTTATGTTCTTCTCACAGATGACAAGTCACTCGTTTCGCGTTCTTCAGTCAATGCCATAAATCGTTTTCGTAGTTCATCGCTTTCGTTTTCTATCATATGAATTTTATCCTCGATCTTATCTTGGACACCCTGTACTTCTTGTTGGCCCGCTTCGATTTTAGCTTCCATTGATTGTTGACCAGCTTGACCGGCATTCATCTCTTGTATTAATTGCATCAGTTGTTCCATTTTTCTGGTCACTACTGGCATAAACTTTCACTAGTTGTCCACTTAACACAACCCCAAACCAGTCACCAGTGTAAAGTAAATTTTAATTACTTTGGTTATATTTATTACAATTTAAATGTATAACAGTAAAATATTGTTTGTCACTCACGAAAACACAATTTCTCACAGCGTGTACTAGTTATTCCTTCGGCGTCGTAATTGGAACTCAACTGTAACGTAATCCGATTTGCTGATATAGTAGTGTCCCGAGCGGTCGCGAACATTCTAGAATAAAATACGTTATATCCTCGGAAAGATTACGTCACATCCGCCTTCGTTCTTTATCGCCGATGACAACTCCTTCATGGCGCCTCGATGGCTATAGCATTTTCTGGAATGTTCGCCACATTAATGATAATCGGAGCGGAAATCCCTCATATTTGTCCTTAATTTCGTACTAATTCAATCAATTGAAACTGTCAATTATTGCAGGTGACCATGGACCAACCCCCACAGATAGATAATAGGAATGACTATTTAGGCACATTTGTCCAAAAAACGTTAAGGTTAAAACCTGAAAAATGGTCTAGAATGATGGCAACGGAAGAGCACAAAGCCGTAGTTATGAAATTTCTCGAGCGTCCTCTGCCGCTACTCTTAGTCATTGTACTAACACCAGCTGCCCAATTGGTTGCAAGTAATGGATTTCCATTAGTGCAACTAAAAACGAAAGGTCTCTTTGGCATCTCAATCACTGTGTGCTGATATTGAAATGTTGTAGGTGTATACTTCATAAAGAAAGTTGCAATGCCCGTTTCGAAGATAACTCCCGCCGATACTATTATCATGGGTGACCTGGCTTGTAAAATTGTTGACCAACTAGCGTCGCTAGTGGATGAAGTATTAATTTTTCGTGGCCACGTTCATTTCACAACAACAGGTTTGCAGGTTTTGGTCCCGTTACTGTCCAATTCGACCAATCACGACAGATGGCCTACTGTGATTGCGAAGGATGTTCAAAAACACGTTCACAGTTTGAAAAGTACTGTGTATCAAGTGAAGGGTCAAGTGAATGGGCAAACTGTACTTCCCATGCCTGTTGGCGTGGAAAAAGTTCAAGAAGTGGAGGAGCTGCTAATCGAAAGCAACGGCAAAATTTGTGATTTGTACTTAAAGAGCGCAATTGAAGCCATTATCATTAAGTGGGTGTCACAAATTAACGATGTACTTGCAAACGATTCTTCTGAAAACAGTTCGGATGCAAATGCCACGCCAAATGCAGGTAAGCCACAACAGGTTACGAAGCTTGCACTGAAAACTGGATGGGAGCGATATATGTTTTAGGAAGATGCTTCCATGTGGTGGTGGCACAAGGACAATGGCATCCATTGTATTATGTCAAAAACATCACTTTTCTTCCCTCTCGTGAAGGAATTGGCGCACACCACCACATGGGTGTACTGTGGGGGTAGTGTGGAGCTTGAACCCACTTAAACCCCTTCTCCTTTCCTTTTCCCAGAGACTGGGCGGGTATCACAGTTGTATTCTTCCACTCCGCTCTGGCCTGCCGCTTAGTTTCGCCGTACTTTTTCTCGAATGCTAATTATTGCGCTGCAAAACTCTTCCACTAAGTTCCATTGGTTTTCCTCGTTACACATTATCCAAATTGTGTTATTTGGCCTTAGTGTATCCCTTAGCTTCAAATTTAAAGCCTCTCCTTCTCCGTACCATCTGGGGCAGATAAGTACTGCATGTGCCTTGTCGTATTCCAACCCGCGGTCAACGCATCTTTCCGTGGCACGTTTTCCCATCTTGTACAAATACTTTCCATTCTCCCCATGCTCCGTAAGAAATTGGGTCAGAGTGTCTTCATGATTCCGGTTAACACACTGCTTGATATCCGGTTTTATCCATTTCCTCTGCCACTCGCCTATCGTAACCGTCTCCGCCCAGTTAACAATGCTATCTGCGTCATCTCCGGGACGAGTGTAAGATTCCCATTCTCCATCCATTCCCGTATAAGCCTGACAGTTCTTCGTACTTCTGTGACGGCCAGTTCCAAGTCTCTGTCCGTGGCAACTGTAGTCAGCACACCCTTCCAATACCCGGATCCTGAGAGCGTTCCATAACTCGGAACCGAGTACGGAGCCGAGTACGGAGCCCTGTGGTGCCCCAGTTGTTGAAATGAATTTGTGCTCTTTGCCCTCTCGGTTGTACCCCCATTTTGCTGTAGGTCCCCCCAGCATAGCTTTTCTGCTTATCATATTAAAGGCGTTCTCTACGTCTATGGTCGCCATCAGGCAGGCCTTGCTTCTTGTGTTTCCGCCAGGGTTTCCAATGCTTGCATTTTGAGTTAATTCTACTTGAAATTGTATGAAATAGTTTTGAATGTTGGAGATCAAATTCGACAGTTGCTGCTGTCCAAAAATCGTTCTGTTTTGTTATACTTTTTAATTATCTTCACTTATGCATTTTCTGTCATACTGTCTGTCTTTTTAAACGTGCCACTCTAAACACTCAAATCCTGTAAAAAAATCTAAGAGCGTATCAGGTGTCAGGACACTTGGGCCCGGATCACCAGTATCGTGTATCGTTGCTTTGCTTGAATCAAAAATTGCGTTTGACCTGATGATTCATGGAAATATGCATATAAACGATTTTCATTTTGGAATAACATTAGTAGGTACCAATGAAAAACTAAAACACTAACAATGAGTAACTAAAAAACGGATACATATTATACATTGTCCTGTGTAATTCGTGCTATTCCCAGTGCAAGCTTCACGAACAGCACCAGGATAGTAATTCTCCATTGTTTTCAGAACTGCAATTCTGGAGTTTGCGTTTAAAGAATTTGCAATTCATTTACGAACAGTTGCGAGAACAAAAGGTCCGCAGTATGGGTGTAATTTTAGAGAAGACGAACAGCGCTTACTATAGTTGTTTTAAAAACCTCTTCAAGAGCGTTGTCATATCTTTGGCAGAGGCTAAAGATATCAACTTGTATCTAAAACCACTTAAACGTCATCTAGTTTTGCTAGAAGACACAGACTTCAGCGATGCGATGCCCCTAGTACGTCCATTAGTTCATGTCGTGTGCTTGATATGGTCCAATTCGCAGTATTTTGACCAAGTGAAGCTCATAGTGCTTTTAAAGCAGATATGCAATCTCCTCATCTACCAGGTACTATACGTAAGTTATTACAACAGACTATAACTAGCGATTTTTGTAGGCCAAACGATTTCTGGATCCCACAACTTTATTCCACAGTGACATTGATGAAGCAATGCAACGGGTCAATTTATCCGTAAACATCCTAAAGCATTTCACCAGAACTTTCGAACTGTATAAAGAAAACTTGGGCTATTTTTTCAGGGATAAGCCTTTAAAGCCTTGGACTTTTCATCCCAATACAGTCTTTGAGAGGTTTAACGTCTTCTTGGATCGGTTGAATACAATTCAATGGTTTTTCAATACCGTGTTGGAATTTACCAAGCTCGAAAAAGTGGAGATTGGAGGAGTTAAGGGAAGAATGTTAAGCGCAAAGGTTACTGGAGTGTCCGCGGAATTTCAACAATGTTTCCATCTATTTTCCGGAAAAGCGCACGATGTACTCGATCCGGACGACAATTCGTTTTTGGCGGAATTTGAGTCGTTTAAGCAAAAAATTTTTGAATTAGATTTAAAACTATCTTCAATCTTGTGCCAGGCGTTTGAAGATTGTTGCAATTTGGAAAGTATTTTTAAGGTAAGTGCTTATCACTAATCTCTCGCAACAATTTATTATCACGCAATCCTAAACATACAACAACAAGTCCGTGAATGCACAATTGCAAAATGACTGGCTTTCTTCTAATGAACAAACTTCTACAGTATTTTACCGTTTGTTATCAAAAAGCAGTCATGGTCTAGTGAGTAAGGCGGCTCCTGCTAATCCAAAGATCGAAGGTTCGAATCTTCCCGTCTACAAAAAATTTATTTATCGATAAACAGACCCCTTTATCAAATTATCAGATCTCAATTTGCCATAATCTGGACTCATTTGTCAAGCTTGTAACTGTTAAAATCCCGGGTCAACCGCCGAAATACCCCGAACCAACTGCGAAAAATATAGCACCCCGGGGCCAACTGCCAAAATATGATCTCGCACTCGGGCCAACTGCCAAAATTCACGGTCATGGTCTCTAGAATTTTCCCACGGTCAATTGGCGGAATTCATACTGAATCGGCCGGGCCAGACACAATTATAGCTTCCCTCTTTTACCGGTATGAAGTCGTTTATTTTGTGATTGTGGTGTTCTTCTTTAATTAGTGAGGTTATTAATTTTGAAAAGTACTCGACTTGTATCAGCAACGATAAGCTCTTTTTCACTTTAGGGAGTTGGTAGAATTTAAATATAAAAAATGGCAGTTTACCGAGTAGGCTGGGAAAAAAAGAGCTGACCAAGAAAAAAAACCAGCCAACAAATTAATACTAAACTGTATAGCAAAATTAGTCGTTTGTAATGACATCATTGATATAATTAATGGTTGGTAAGTAAATTAATGAACCGTCAAATCATAGGCTCCACTTTGGTAAAAAAAGGAAGGTTATACACTGCCTTTTTTTGAGGCCGGAAGAAAAAATTGTCTCAGATCGACCCGGAAACAAAATTTCTTATAGAATGTGACCTGTAGAATCCATAATTTCAAACAATTCCAAGATTGGACTATTAGTTTGAAAGTTACAGCCCTTTGAATTTTCTTTCGAAATTGGTTTCTAGTCGATAACTTTTGATTGAGAAGTCTGATCGAAAAAGTACGAATTGTTTTGGATTCTACGCACCAAAATTAATAAGAAAAAGTGTTTTCCCGAGACTTTTTGGTGTAGTCGATTTTTTGGTAAAGAAGGAAGGTTATACACTGACTTTTTTTGGGGCTCGAAAAAAAATTGTCTCAGATCGACCCGGAAAAAAATTTTCTTATAGAATGTGGCCTGTAGAATCCATAATTTCAAACAGTTCCAAGATTGGGCTACTAGTTCAAAAGTTACAGGCCTTTGAATTTTTTTTCGAAATTGGTTTCTAGTCTATAACTTTTGATTGAGAAGTCTGATCGAAAAAGTACGAATTGTTTTGGATTCTACGCACCAAAATTAATAAGAAAAAGTGTTTTCCCGAGAAATTTTGGTGCAGTCGATTTTTGGTAAAAAAGGAAGGTTATACACTGCCTTTTTTTGAGGCCCGAAAAAAAAATGTCTCAGATCGACCCGGAAAAAAAATTTTCTTATAGAATGTGGCCTGTAGAATCCATAATTTCAAACAGTTCCAAGATTGGGCTACTAGTTCAAAAGTTACAGGCCTTTGAATTTTCTTTCGAAATTGGTTTCTAGTCTATAACTTTTGATTGGAAAGTCTGATCGAAAAAGTACGAATTGTTTTGGATTCTACGCACCAAAATTAATAAGAAAAAGTGTTTTCCCGAGAAATTTTGGTGCAGTCGATTTTTGGTCAAAAAGGAAGGTTATACACTGCTTTTTTTGAGACCCGAAAAAAAAATTGTCTCAGATCGACCCGGAAAAAAATTTCTTATAGAATGTGACCTGTCGAATCCATAATTTCAAACAATTCCAAGATTGGACTATTAGTTCCAAAGTTACAGCCCTTTGAATTTTCTTTCGAAATTGGTTTCTAGTCGATAACTTTTGATTGAGAAGCCTGATCGAAAAAGTACGAATTGTTTTGGTTTCTACGCACCAAAATTAATAAGAAAAAGTGTTTTCCCGAGAAATGTTGGTGCAGTCGATTTTTGGTAAAAAAGGAAGGTTATACACTGCCTTTTTTTGAGGCCCGAAAAAAAATGTTCTCAGATCGACCCGGAAAAAATCGTGTCAGTTTTCAATAGTACTTATTGTTTTTTGGTTTAATTATTTTTACGAAAGCAAAAAATAGACAAAAAGACCAAGCAGAAATATATAATTATTGATTTCTTTAAACATACTTTTTATTTGGATTTTCAACTCTGGCCCGTGACATGACGCATATGAAAAATGTTATTTTGGCGGATTTGGCCCCTTGGAAAAAAGGTTGCCCATGCCTGATCTACAGGGTATACCTTTTGTCGCAATAAGCACAAGCCAAAATAGGCGTGTGCTGTATACCATGTATTAATATTGTAATATAAAATTATTACCAAAATGGAACCCAATTGTGTTTATCTTATCAGGGGACACTACATGATCTGTTGCCTTCAATCAATTAGACTATTTTTTTCAGTTAATAAGCATTGTTGGATCGGTACTCGACAGGCCACTAATAAAAGAGGAATTCACGAGCAAATATGTTAAAATTTTGGACATGTTAAATGAAGAAATGGACACGGCAGAAGTATGATTCCCGCTTATGACCGATGTCGTCTTACTCACACTACTTATTAATTAGAGATTTTCTACGTAACTGATTAATGGGTCTTTAGACTGTTATAATAGTATTAATTTTTGTGGTCTCCATTAAATTAATTGAACCGGCGTGGTGCGGCGCTATAGTAAAATAGGGCAATCCTAAATTCACGTGGTGTGATTAAGGCGACGTCAGTTTTGAGTTTTAAAAAGTAAAGCCATCAAAGCTTGTGTTTCAGATATTAGTACAAGAGCAAATGGTTCATAAAGAAAAAAATGGACATTTTCGTTTAGACAAGTATATGCCTCCGGTTGCGGGCTCATTGCGTTGGACTCACAATCTACGTGAACGAATATCTGCACCCATTTTGTCCTTTAAGGCACTGCAACATCCGTACGTTGCTAATTAAGTTTCTTTCATTAATGACCCGTCGACATTAACTTTTAGAATAACCAAAACATCGGAAGCTGATGAGATCATTAAGAAGTACGAAAATTTGACAGAAAAACTTTACGAGTTTGACGATGAGCTATTTAAGCAGTGGGCCAAAGCGGTGCCCGAACAAATTAATGTAAATTTAAAACAATCTCTCCTAAAGCGAAATGTGAAGTCTAAAGAATTGCAGTTAAACTTTAACCCTCAGGTAATTCTACAACTAGATAAACATGACGATATAAAACTTTACTTTTAGCTATCGGCAATTCTACGAGAAGTCCATTACTTGAAAATAATGGATCACGAAGACATACCGGAAGAAGCTCTGCTAATATCCGAAAGAAACGATACGTTTCGGCAGTACATCATAAATTTAGATTCAACTATCGATTGGTATAATAAAATTAGGCGTACAAGCAAGGATGTTGAATTTCAATTGATTCAGCATGAGATTGAAGAAATTGATAAACTAATTATACAAGGGCAAACGAACCTAAACTGGGATTCGAAAGGTACTTCTGTTAGTTACCTGCCATTTTTTTTTAATTATTCTGAGAGAACACTTCCAACGGATGACTCTCATAAATTTTAATGAATCGGAATTGGTTTACTGCGGTGTAGTTGCAGAAAACCATTTCACGATGAAGATTCTTTTTTAATACGCAATTAGAGTCCGCACTTGCAGCGGCAAATATTTACATTACCTGCTGCTGTTTACAAAAAGGCCGGATAAGTAGTTTCCAACATTGCTAGTTAAAAAGTGGATTTAGCAAAGCCATTCCAAAGGCACAATTTGCGGTACTTTTACTTTTTAACTTTTTAGTTTAGTTTAATCGTATTACAAAGTTAGAAGAACAAATGATTGGAAAGGGAGTAAATGGCGGTTAGTGAATACCTAACAACCGTTCCGAAACAATATTTGGTGTTCTCTTATAAAACTGCAGTGCAAGGAATATGCATTTACTTTTGCGTCATTTTTATTTCTATGAGGCTTTCAGAAATCAGTGGAGCTTTAAAGTATGGAGTTTGTATCGTATTTCATCTTTTAATTGATTGGGTTACACTTTCAGACTCAATATCATGGAACTTGCAGATTGAGTCTATTTGGAAAACACTCTAATTTGATTTGTATGCGGTGGAATTTAAGTGAACAAATTAACGTTTAAATGTTCCCGATATTAGTTGATAAGAAGCCCTTTTATAGGTGTGGTTAATTAATGAGTAAAAAGGGAGGATTTTTTGAAGGAAGGTTTCGTTCTTCGCTGGTTGAACGAACGCGTCGTTGCGGAAGAAATTAATTCGCGTTCAAGTAATCGAGACGACTAGTTTATAAAAGTAAGTTAAGCTGGCAGTGCTTTGACTCAAACCCGCCACATAAACGGCCAACTAGTTCAGAGTTATGAAACAAAAAGGGCTTGAGATTCCTCACGGCGCGCGGCGGTTCATTTCGACCATAAACATTGCGACTTGCCATGAAGTTGAGCGCCACCCAGCTTCTTTAAAAGCTTAACTCTCATCCCTCTATAAAACTGAGAACATACGGGGGGAGTAGCAATGAAAGCAGCAGCCTTGGCTGAAACCCCACCCACTCAAAAATAAGGGCAAAATAAATAAATAAAATAAAAGCAAATAACAAAATATCACTATGTTGTTCTTCAATGACTATTTTACCTCAATACAAAATACTCCCATACATTCTACAGCTACACGATTACGTTAAAATTCAAATATAACCCCTGATTAATTCCTCCAATTGATAAATCCCCTGTTTAAATAATGATCCCCACGCACCCGCATAAAGGTTAAGCCATAATCTCGCAGAATGATAGCGTCTCTCCGTAAAAGGTTTTCCTGGCTATTTACACCCTAAGGTAGGCCCCCAACGAATCATTATCCAAAACATTTTCGATGCCGTTTCTATTTTATATGCGATGTTAAGACATGCGATCCAGAAATCAATCCGCATTTCAGTCGATCCAAGGTGCAACCATTGTACAGAAGAAACCAAGTCCATTTTTTCGAAGAGATCAACTTCAGGAAACGTTGTTCATTTTTCACATCCTTATGGTAAAAATTAAAGTGTTTTTAGTTGAGTTCGTTTATAAGGTAAATTAAAAAGAAAGGATTTTTCATTGATGTAATTTAGGGTAAAATTATACGTATTATTAAACGAGGCCAATTTGTGTAGATTTCATATTGGGAGTATATATCCCGTATTTAATTGTATGTGTTTATTTAAGGACCTTGTAACGGCTCATTTCCATTTACTGATGTTGGAAACCCCACTAATAATGGAAATCTCACGTCACTTGTAAAACATTACTCAGTAATGAATAAGCTTTTAATTACTGTTACCTTGCGGAAGGTTGTCTTATTACCTGCACTTTTAATCTGTAAATTAAAACCTGAAGCTCTGATTTGATCGCTCTCAAACAATGCTCATGTAATTGACTTGTTTGAATAAATTGATACAAGTAAAATCGTTCCACTCCTCTTGTCTTTCCATTTTCCATAATTTAAATTCAACTTCACGGATTAAACTCCGATGGGTCGACCTCTTCAGGAATGCTACATTGACTCTAAGTGTAAATCTTTTATACAAGATCCCCAAAGCGATCGACACAATGCAAAACATTCAAAATAACTTACATTTATGGATAAGTCAAAGTGATCTCATATTCACAGCTGTCCTTTTGAACGATAGTACATATTAACAAAATTGGATGGTGGAACGTTTGGTGCATTGTAATCGGATCTATTGTATGACCTGGTAAACTTGACTGCTCGTTGTAAGTGAATCTCGAAAGATGCATGATGACAATTTGAATCCTGAGCAAACTGGGCTTCGGGTTTCTCAAACTTCAATAGTTCAGAGTCATTGGATTATTTGATTCCGCAAAAGGAAATTGCCGTTTAATGTAAAATTTATTACCACCCCGTATACACAAGAGAAGTGCACAGTTTTGATTAATAAAGTTGTTTTTGATCATCTAACCGCTCCAAATATAGACACAATGAACGTTCTACACCTTGGACCATAACGCTTTCGTGGTAACAATTTATTTTTACACGAATACACTACTCCGCTAATACAACGAATCGAATTTGTTCACTTACGCTTTAAAAGGTGACACTTTGCACCATTCACAGACACAGTCTTTTCGATGTATTCCAATATTTAGATTCAAATTTCGTACGATACTGCAGCTAACAGTTCTTTCTTGTCTTTCAAAAATACGGCTTCGGTATTCGAACAGAGTGACGCCTTGAAGGCTTGGCGAAACTTTCAATACGCGTTAGAAAAATGCCTCCCTTAAGTTACGTAGTTTTATTTCGAAAGTTTTGGTAAGAATGCCTCCCTCCCATCCGATTGTTACTTATATAGTCGCAGAATCCTACACCGGAAACGGATGCAACCAATTTTAGTTATGTTTTTTATGCATGTGAAGGCAAGAGGGTTCGTACCTCAGTAGCGACGTTTTTTTAGAGCCGGAAACACTCCAGCATTTCAACTTTTATCTGCGTGAACACTCGTTATTATCTTCTGTTATTCTGTTCTTTTTCCTTATGAAACAGTACACGTATAAAATGTCCTATATCGGCAATTTTTTGTCAATTTAACAAAAAAATCCAAATTTTCGTCCCAAAAAATTCAAATTTGGTACATGGTAATCTTGATTTATACTTACTTCTATACTAACACGTCCGCGGTAAATTATTCAACCTACTGTAAGTTCCCAAAGTATTCAATTGACCGTTGCCATTATTGGTAGTTCAATTTAGACTACTTCCCGTAGACTTATGGAACTACATGGTACAGCTTCATACCATGGTAGGAAATCTCCAAGAGCACGTTCAACAGAGTCAAGAAAACATTACTAAAATAAGAAACGTGCTAATACCATTTGCTCGTCAACCCCTATTTGAAAGAAAAGATAATCGAAAGGACACCGTCTTAAGCATAGATGAAAAGGAAGAAAGGATTAAGAGACGATACTCGGAAATTCGGCAAGTAACACAAGAAATACACGTGCTGGTTGAACACAACATGCAGCTTTTCGAAATGCTTGAGAGGCAAGAAGATCCCAATTGGCTCTCCTATGTTAGTTACATTGATCAAATTGTCATGAGTTACCTATATCAGACTATCGGATGCAGGTAACGTTAACATTACGTTTCGCACAAATTCTTATTCCACCACAGTTTAGGATACCTAAGCGAACATATGGATTCAACAAACAATTTACCCCCACTATTTGAGGCACAATTGCAACTGGGAGACACCGATATCGTCTTTGATCCTTCATTGGAATCTAATTCCGCCGACAGTTTCAAAAAACAAATCGACGGCCTTATAGAGGATATCTTAAACATAGCGTCAATAGTCCCGAGGTTTTCGGTTGTCGCGGAATTTACTTACAAAGAAGAAATTGAGAACAATGCCGATGTTATAGAAATTAAAAATGATATCTTGAAGAATAGCGATGACGTAATACAACAAGCGTTCGATTTCAGCGATAATTTTCAAAACTACTCCTACTTATGGCTCGATGATCGAGATTTTTACATGGAGCAATTCTTAACTTACGGCAGACAGTTGACGAACGATGAATTAGAGTTGGTTCAGCTAAAGGATCCTGCCGCACCAGAGCGTTCGCCTCCTAAAATGGAACATTTTCGTGAACAAATCGATAACTTCGAAAACTTATACAATGAAATCGAGAAGATGCAAACGACACAGATATTTAATGCGTGGTTTAAAGTTGACGTAAAGCCTTTCAAGCAGGCAGTTCAGAATACTGTTCGAAAATGGGGTAACATGTTTCGGCAGCACTTGGTTGACACAGTTACTAACAGTCTGTGTAATTTGAGCTCGTTCATTCGTTCAGCTGATGAAGGTCTTCAGCAAACTGTTGTAGAGGGCGACTATGGTGCTTTAGTCAATGTGATGGGATATCTACTGAAAGTAAAGGAAAGGCAGGGAACAACTGATGAAATTTTTGGCCCGTTAAAAGAAACCATTGAACTTTTGAAATTTTACGATCAAGATATTCCTGAAGAAGTTAACGTACTGCTGCAAGAGCTGCCAGAGCAATGGAATAATACTAAAAAGATTGCAATCACAGTTAAGCAACAAGTGGCTCCTCTTCAAGCCGCAGAAGTGACTTGCGTTAGAAACAAAATTGCGGAATTCGATGCATGTATATTACTTTACCGCGAGCATTTCAAACTGTATGAATTCTTCCAATACGACTGCGTCCAGCCATACAAACTCTTAGACAAAATTGATCTAGATATACTGTGGCTTGAAAAACAAATGGGCGAGATTCACAAATCTGGTTCGCTATTTGAAGTGACCGTTCCCGACTTTAAGGTACTCAAACAGTGCCGTAAGGAACTGAGGATGTTAAAGGTACCCATCTTGAGTTTTGTAATAATTTCTTTACGAATTCGTGTTTCAGCAACTTTGGGATTACATTAACACTGTTCATACTTGTGTGGATGATTGGAAAACGACACCATGGAGAAAGATCGATGTTGAAAATATGGATATTGAGTGCAAGAAATTTGCCAAAGAAGTTAAGATGTTGGACAAAGAAATGAGAGCTTGGGACACATACACCGGCCTTGAGGCTACCGTGAAAAATACTTTAACGTCTCTAAGAGCTGTCGGCGAGTTACAGAATCCAGCTATTAGGGAAAGACATTGGGATCAGCTAATGACTTCGACAAAGGTACACAAATTAATTGCTTTGATATTACATGTACATAATGTAAATAACATAAAGATTGATTTTTTTACCTATTCCGAAAGCTCACTGAGCAGAATAATACTTCACGAGGGATTTTTTCTTAGTGCAATGTAAATAAGCTTTATTATAGTCTCAAAATGTTGCAATGGGAGGATAACGAGGTTAGTAGTGATCAATATTTATGACCTATTCTTCTATTTGTCGCGCTCTCTGTACATAGCATTGACCAATTCTGTTCCAGAACTTAGCAGCTTTGCCCAAGGAATTTACGGTAAGTTTCGCAGCTTAGATTGACTGTATAGCACGCCTTTACTGCAAGTACTCAATTCATAACTGGCAAAATGACACTCTTTGTGTTTTAGACGCGTATAGTGATGGACGAAGATACAACGTTAGCGGACTTGTTGCTGCTTAATCTCCATGAGTGCGAAGATGAGGTGAAAAATATCGTAGATAAGGCGGTTAAAGAGATGTCTATGGAAAAAATTTTGCGGGACCTTGATACGACATGGTCATCAATGGAGTTCGAGCAAGAAACCCACTCGCGTACTGGGTGTAGTTTACTACGAGCAAGTGAGAAACTCATAGAAACCTTAGAAGAGAACCAAGTCCAACTACAAAATTTGATCACGTCAAAGTTCATTGCACACTTCCTGGAAGAAGTCTCCGCTTGGCAAACCAAACTGAGCATTGCAGACCAGGTGATTTCCCTTTGGTTCGAAGTTCAGAGGACTTGGATGCATCTGGAATCCATTTTCATGAGTTCTGAAGATATACGAAAACAGCTTCCCGAAGACTCGGCGAGATTTGATCAAATCGACAGCGACTTTAAGGAGTTAATGACCGAAATGGCCAAAACGCCAAACGTTGTTGAGTCAACAAACAAAGAAGGCCTGTTGCCCACGCTTGACGAATTGCAGAAGAACCTAACACTTTGCGAAAAGGCGCTGGCAGTTTATTTAGAAACGAAGCGGTTGGCGTTTCCAAGATTTTACTTTATCTCTTCGGCGGACCTTTTGGATATCTTATCAAACGGAGACCAACCTCAACTGGTTGGAAAGCATTTGACAAAATTATTCGATTCGATTGCCAAGCTTAATTTCATTCAGAACGAAGACGGCAGCATACAAAATATAATTAAGGGAATGATTGCTAAAGATGGGGAGTATGTTGTTTTTGAGGCGGACTGCGATTGTAACGGACCTGTACGTTATCCAATTGCTTCTAGCACTGCGTTACGCAATGTTTTAGGTTGAAGTTTGGCTGAATCGATTGCAGGATTCTATGCGCAACTCCATACGGCATTACATGGGCGAAGGCACTGTCGCGTATGAAGAGAAACCAAGAGATCAATGGCTGTTTGATTATCCCGCTCAAGTTTCTTTATGTGGAACGCAAATATGGTGGACGGCAGAAGTCAACATAGCTTTCTCCCGAGTTGAAGAAGGTTATGATAACGCAATGAGAGACTACTACAAAAAGCAGGTTTCGCAATTAAGCACATTGATCACATTGCTGATTGGTGATCTATCTAAACAAGACAGACAAAAAATCATGACAATATGCACAATTGACGTCCACTCCCGAGATGTTGTTAGTAAACTGATACAGATGAAGATTGACAACGCGACTGCTTTCCAATGGGTATCCCAACTAAGACATAGATGGGGTGAGAAAGAAAAGCACTGTTTCGCAAATATTTGCGATGCACAATTTCGGTACTGTTACGAATATTTGGGAAACACCCCTCGATTGGTCATTACTCCCCTCACTGATCGCTGCTATATAACTTTAACGCAAGTGAGTATGATCCACAATTTATTGCTCCCTTCAGCGTGTTAATTACAGTCATTGCATTTAATTATGGGCGGAGGCCCTGCGGGTCCTGCAGGTACTGGAAAAACCGAAACGACCAAAGACTTGGGACGAGCCCTTGGAATTATGGTTTACGTGTTTAATTGTTCCGAACAAATGGATTACAAGGTAACCGCCGCAGTTGCTCTAGAATTGCAATTTTGTATTGTAGTCATGTGGAAATATCTACAAAGGACTCGCGCAAACGGGGGCATGGGGTTGCTTTGACGAATTCAATCGAATCTCAGTCGAAGTGCTATCCGTGGTTGCCGTACAAGTAAAATCTGTTTTAGACGCCATAAGAAATAAGAAAGACATATTTAACTTTATGGGGGAACAAATTCCATTAATCCCGACAGTTGGACTTTTCATCACCATGAATCCCGGATACGCTGGACGTACAGAACTTCCCGAAAACTTGAAAGCCCAATTTCGGTAATTGGTCAAACACATTCGCCTTGTAAATGATGACGCGGTTTTAGACCATGCGCCATGGTCGTTCCGGATTTTGAATTAATATGCGAAATAATGTTGGTTGCTGAAGGTTTCCAGGAAGCAAAGATTCTGGGACGCAAATTTATAACGCTTTATACACTTTGCAAGGAATTGTTATCTAAACAGGATCACTACGACTGGGGATTAAGAGCAATCAAATCGGTTTTGGTTGTTGCAGGCTCTCTAAAGGTACATTACTATAGTTAAGAACCGTAGTGAAGTTTGCTCCTCAACGTTTATAATTCATTTATTTACACATTGTTTGCACATTTAAACGCAACAGAAGTTGGTCATGAATAGTGATGTGGATTGTAAAATAACGATTTGTAAGTTACATAAAAAACGGTTATTATATTACGCGTAACTTACAAGAGGCCGGTTTTTTAATGTAATTTATGTCTTTTATGAAACTTACGTAACTTACGTTTTTAATTTAAAAAACCGTAATTTTTGTAAGTTACATAACTATTTGATACATCTTGATCGGTACTACCACAGACCATCAACGGTACTACCAACGTAAACGATTCACCGTTGAATTTAGTTTGGTTTAATGAAGATGAAACTTTTGATTTTTGGTAAAAAAAGGAAGGTTATATATACGCACTGCCTTTTTTTGAGCCCCGAAAAAAAATTGTCTCAGATCGACCCAGAAAAAAATTTTCTTATAAAATGTGGCCTGTAGAATCCATAATTTCAAACAGTTCCAAGATTGGGCTACTAGTTCACAAGTTACAGCCCTTTGAATTTTTTTTCAAAATTGGTTTCTAATCTATAACTTTTGATTGAGAAGTCTGATCGAAAAAGTACGAATTGATTTGGATTCTACGCACCCAAATTAATAAGAAAAAGTGTTTTCCCGGAAAATTTTGGTGTAGTCGATTTTTGGTAAAAAAGGAAGGTTATACACTGCCTTTTTTTGAGCCCGAAAAAAAATTGTCTCAGATCGACCCGGAAAAGAAATTTTCTTATAGAATGTGGCCTGTAGAATCATAATTTCAAACAGTTCCAAGATTGGGCTACTACTTCAAAAGTTACAGCCCTTTGAATTTTCTTTCGAAACTGGTTTCTAGTCTATAACTTTTGATTGAGAAATCTGATCGAAAAAGTACGAATTGTTTTGGATTCTACGCACCAAAATTAATAAGAAAAAGTGTTTTCCCGAGAAATTTTGGTGTAGTCAATTTTTGGTAAAAAAGGAAGGTTATACACTGCCTTTTTTTGAGCCCCGAAGAAAAAATTGTCTTAGATCGACCCGGAAAAGAAATTTTCTTATAGAATGTGGCCTATAGAATCATAATTTCAAACAGTTCCTACTACTACTACTACTACTACTAGTTGAAAAGTTACAGCCCTTTGAATTTTTTTTCAAAATTGGTTTCTAGTCTATAACTTTTGATTGAGATGTCTGATCGAAAAAGTACGAATTGATTTAGATTCTACGCACCCAAATTAATAAGAAAAAGTGTTTTCCCGAGAAATTTTGGTGTAGTCGATTTTTGGTAAAAAATGAAGGTTATACACTGCCTTTTTTTGAGCCCCGAAAAAAAATTGTCTCAGATCGACCCGGAAAAGAAATTTTCTTATAGAATGTGGTCTGTAGAATCATAATTTCAAACAGTTCCAAGATTGAGCTACTAGTTCAAAAGTTACAGCCCTTTGAATTTTTTTTCGAAATTGGTTTCTAGTCTATAACTGTTGATTGAGAAGTCTGATCGAAAAAGTACAAATCGATTTGGATTCTACGCACCCAAATTAATAAGAAAAAGTGTTTTCCCGAGAAATTCTGGTGTAGTTAATTTTTGGTAAAAAAAGGAAGGTTATACACTGCCTTTTTTTGAGCCCCGAAAAAAAATTGTCTCAGATCGACCCGGAAAAGAAATTTTCTTATAGAATGTGGCCTGTAGAATCATAATTTCAAACAGTTCCAAGATTGGGATACTACTTCAAAAGTTACAGCCCTTTGAATTTTTTTTCGAAATTGGTTTCTGGTCTATAACTTTTGATTGAGAAGTCTGATCGAAAAAGTACGAATTGATTTGGATTCTACGCACCCAAATTAATAAGAAAAGTGTTTTCACAAGAAATTTTGGTGTAGTCAATTTTTGGTAAAAAAGGAAGGTTATACACTGCCTTTTTTTGAGCCCCGAAGAAAAAATTGTCTCAGATCGACCGGAAAAAAATTTTCTTATAGAATGTGGCCTGTAGAATCCATAATTTCAAACAGTTCCAAGATTGAGCTACTAGTTCAAAAAGCCCTTTGAATTTTTTTTCGAAATTTGTTTCTAGTCTATAACTTTTGATTGAGAAGTCTGATCGAAAAAGTACGAATTGATTTGGATTCTACGCAACCCAAATTAATAAGCAAAAGTGTTTTCCCGAGAAATTTTGGTGTAGTCGATTTTTGGTAAAAAAGGAAGGTTATACACTGCCTTTTTTTGAGCCCCGAAAAAAATTGTCTCAGATCGACCCGCAAAAAAAATTTTCTTATAGAATGTGGCCTGTAGAATCCATAATTTCAAACAGTTCCAAGATTGGGCTACTAGTTCACAAGTTACAGCCCTTTGAATTTTTTTCGAAATTGGTTTCTACTAGTGATGTGGATTGTAAAAAACGATTTGTAAGTTACATAAAAAACGGTTATATTACGCGTAACTTACAAGAGGCCGGTTTTTTTATGTAATTTATGTCTTTTATGAAACTTACGTAACACGTTTTTAATTTAAAAAACCGTAATTTTTGTAAGTTACATAGCTATTTGATACATTTTGATCGGTACTACAACAGACCATCAACGGTACTACCAACGTAAACGATTGACCGTTGAATTTAGTTTGGTTTAATGAAGATGATACAGCCTCTAATTCGCGATCTGGAGCTTCTTCCTCCAAACGACGCGTGATGGCGAAATACCTACTGCTTGGGTATTTTATTTAATACACCAAAATATATAATTTAACAAGTGTTTTTATTTTCAAACACTCACAAAATTCAAAAAGGTTTATACAATATTGAAAAAAACATAAAAAACATAAATGACAGGTAATTTTACAAAAATATTTGTAAATTACATAAAAAACATATATTACTGGTAATTTTACTGTAAAATTACGTTTTTTTTTAAAAAATGGTAAGTTACATAAATTACATAAAATACATAAAAAACATAAACAATTCGTAATTTTACACGTAATATTACGCACTACACTAGTCATGAACTTACCGAAAACGACAGGGGGGACAGAGGATAACACATTTTTAAAGAAAATTTATAGGGTGCCTCTTATTCGGATTTCCAATATTCCGAGGAAGATTGCTAAAGAGTTGCTAAAAGGGATTTCGAAAAATATTTATTGGAAATTGCGCCAAACGTTGCTGAAGGGATTTCTGGGATGTGCAAATGTCTTCTAGTGAAATTCATAGACACATTCATAACAATATATTCTAAAATTACTAAAAAAAGTTTCAAGAGAACTCTGTGTAAAAAGATTCCTAAGAGCATCTCTTAAAAAAATTACCAAGAAGATTCCCAGTTGTTTCTATAGACCCGCAAAAATTTCAAAACGTGCCTTTCGTATTTAATTTGTTTTTCCTTTTCCATTTCGTAATTTCTAAGTTAAGTTGAATGGGTTGCGTAGACACCTGAGAAATATCTTTAGGTTAAACTTATAAATGAAATTGGATTCAGACTGTTCAGCATTTTACGGAAATGTGATCATGGTTGCACAATGTGACGAAAGTTCCTAGTCAGTAATAACATTAAAACATCCCCCAACGATTCGCTATCTTCAAAATTTTTCCCGGGGTCTACAATTTCAAGGCCATTTTAAGGATTTCTCAATTTTCAATGCAGTCGACACCGGAGAGCTATAAACATAAATTATGAGAAAAAATCTTCTTTTATTGTTATAATTTAATAAGTGAAAATCTCGATTGTTTTTACTGGACGACGCTCATTTATGCTGATTTCCTAATTATGTACTTGTGTTCATCTAAAGGCCTATTGACAAGGAAATAATTTTCTTTGAAAAATCTTACGAAAAATCGAAGTGAAATATATACGGTGGGAGTTGAGAGGCTAACATGGTATGCCAAAAGGAACACAATATGAAATGTTTTAGCGCGGTGACCCAGGTCGTCCAGAGGAAGAGGTTCTAATGCGAGCTCTTAGAGATTTTAATATACCAAAAATTGTAACGGAGGACTTTCCTGTTTTTATGGGCCTGATCGGTGATCTTTTCCCAGCCTTGGAAGTGCCCAGAAAAAGAGATGCCGAGTTTGAAAGAACGGTCAAGCAGGCAGCAATGGATTTAGGGCTGCAGCCTGAAGACAATTTTATTTTAAAAGTGAGAGGAAACCCCGGTAGCTTATTTACGCTAATTCATTTGATATAGGTTGTGCAGTTGGAAGAGCTTTTGGAAGTGCGACATTCTGTTTTTATAGTTGGATACGCGGGTACTGGTAAGACTCAAGTATGGAAAACGCTGTTTAAAACTTACCAAAATATTAAGCGTAAGCCGATTTACAATGACCTAAATCCAAAAGCGGTCACTAACGACGAACTTTTTGGAATTATTAACCCTGCGACACGCGAATGGAAAGACGGCCTATTTTCGGTACTCATGCGCGACCAGGCCAATCTAAATAATGATCACCCGAAATGGATTATTTTGGATGGAGATATTGATCCCATGTGGATTGAATCTTTGAACACCGTCATGGACGATAATAAGGTTTTGACTTTGGCTAGTAATGAACGGATAGCTCTCACGCCGACAATGAGACTACTGTTTGAAATATCCAATTTGAGAACAGCAACGCCTGCCACTGTTTCTCGAGCTGGTATACTTTACATCAATCCACAAGACTTAGGCTGGAATCCGTAAGTTCGTTAGTAATTGGTTACTGAACTAGCTTATTTGCTTCAAAGGTTTGTGACAAGTTGGTTAGAAACGCGCACCAGCAATGCGGAAAAATCAAATCTGATCGCCCTTTTCGATAAGTACATCCCGATTTGTTTAGAAAACATCAAAACGAGGTTTAAAAAAATTACACCCATCGTGGAAATCTCTCACATACAAATGCTTTGCCACTTGCTAGACTGTCTACTAACACCAGTGAACACTCCAGCCGATTGCCCAAAGGAATGGTACGAATTGTATTTTGTATTCGGTTGTGTTTGGGCATTTGGTTCTGCCATGTTTCAGGAGCAGGTGCGTATACGTGCACCTTACACCATTACATAATTTCCTCGCAGACAACCGATTATCGTGTAGAATTTACAAAATGGTGGGTCAACGAGTTTAAAAACATTAAATTTCCAACAGGGGGTACCGTTTTTGATTACTTCATTGATACTGAAACCAAGCAATTTCTACCGTGGACTGAACGACTAGGTCGTTTCGAATTGGATCCTGAAGTACCTTTACAAGTAAAATTACGATCAAGATTCCAACTGGTACTAATGTTACCTATTTTAGGCAATTTTAGTGCATACCGCCGAATCTGTGCGCTTAAAATTCTTTTTAGATTTGTTAATGGAGAAACGTCGTCCAGTGATGCTTATTGGAAATGCGGGAGTTGGTAAAACAGTTTTAGTTAACGAAAGGTTACGTTCGCTACCAGATCATTACGCTATTTGCACAATCCCCTTCAATTTTTACACTACATCGGAGATGTTGCAAAGAATTCTGGAAAAACCCCTTGAAAAAAAGGCTGGCAGAAACTATGGGCCTCCAGGAAATAAAACTCTGATTTACTTTCTTGATGACATGAACATGCCTGAAGTAGACACTTACGGAACTGTGCAGCCGCACACCCTGATTCGCCAACATTTAGACTACAACCATTGGTATGACCGAGGTCGTTTGACACTAAAGGACATTCACAATTGCCAGTACGTGTCATGCATGAATCCAACTGCAGGAAGTTTTACAATCAACCCACGACTTCAGCGGCATTTCTACGTATTTGCGGTGAGCTTCCCGGGAATTGATGCGCTTACAACGATCTACCATGCCATTTTAACGCAACACCTTTCAAATCCGGAATACAAGATAGCCCCTTTTTTCGTTAAACTTGCCGATAATGTTGTAAATGCTACGGTAACACTACACCATAAGGTTTCCCAAATCTTTTTACCAACAGCAATCAAGTTTCACTACATATTCAACTTGCGAGACTTATCAAACATCTTTCAGGTAGATCGTCCATATCGATGTAATCATCTAGATTTCAGTTTTTAGGGTTTCTTATTCAGCACCGGAGATTGCTTAAATCAACCCCACGATATAGTGCGCTTGTGGATACACGAAAGCCAACGAGTTTACGGCGACAAATTAACTGAAGAAAAAGACAGCGACGCATTTTACAAGTCACAGGTCGACGTGTTCAAGAAGAATTTCGAAGAAATTGACGAATCCACAGTATTTGAAAAACCGAACATTTACTGTCATTTTGCAGGCGGAATTGGTGAACCCAAATACATGCCGATTAAGAAATGGACCCAACTTAATAAGCTGCTTTCTGAAGCCATGTCCAGTTATAATGATTTGGTAGCCGCCATGAACTTGGTGTTATTCGAAGACGCTATGATGCACGTCTGCAGGTAAGCTAATGTCTATGAAGTTCGCCCGACCCATTTTGAGTAAAAAATTACTTAATGTTTGTGTTTAAGTAAACGTGCGTGCACATTTTTTGAGCCCAAGTAAATGCTTTCCCATAAAATTTCAAACCAGAATGGGAAGAGCCAACTTCACAGGAAACTAATAGCAACTAATTTCAGAATAAATCGCATCTTGGAATCACCGCGAGGAAGCGCATTACTAGTTGGTGTTGGTGGCAGCGGAAAACAATCACTTTCACGACTGGCGGCTTTTATCTCATCCCTGGAGGTGTTCCAATTACAACTCAAAAAGGGCTACGGTGTTGTAGACCTACGAAAAGAACTGAGCGGTCTCTATCTAAAATCCGGCCTAAAAAACGTCGGAATTATGTTTCTAATGACCGACGCGCAAGTGCCAAATGAACAATTTTTGGTACTAATAAACGACATGCTCGCCTCTGGAGAAGTTCCGGATATGTTTTCTGAGGATGAAATTGAGAACATAATTGGTGGAGTGAGGAATGAAGTGAAAGGTGCTGGAATATTAGATACGAGGGAAAACTGTTGGAAATTCTTCCTGGACAGAGTCAGACGGCAACTAAAGGTAGTTTTATGTTTTTCTCCCGTTGGATCCACATTAAGGGTACGAGGGAGAAAATTCCCAGCTATAGTAAACTGCGCACAGATGAATTGGTTCCACGAGTGGCCACAGGAGGCATTAGTTTCTGTCTCCCTCAAATTTTTGCAAGAGCTTGAAGTGTTACCCGAATCACTATACGACCCCGTATCTAAATTTATGGCCAATACTCACTCGTCGGTTAACTCGATCTCAAAACAGTTTCTTACAAATGAACGGCGATATAATTACACCACCCCGAAATCGTACCTTGAACAAATTAGCTTGTACTCAAAGCTATTGCGACTAAAGGCCGCAGAGCTAAAGAAGAATATTGCAAGATTAGAAAACGGATTGGATAAACTAAGAACAACAGCCTCTCAAGTGGAAGATTTGAAAGCAACGCTAGCAATACAAGAGATTGAACTCAAGCAAAAAAATGACGCAGCTGATGCGCTAATTGCAATCGTGCAAGTAGAAACAACAAAAGTATCAATTGAAAAGTCACTTGCAGGAGAAGAAGAAGTTAAAGTGGGAATAATTGCAGAAGAAGTCAGTCAAAAACAAAGAGACTGTGAGGAAGATTTGGTGAAAGCCGAACCGGCGCTCTTAGCTGCTCAGGAGGCGTTGAACACACTTAATAAGGCCAATTTGACTGAGCTTAAATCTTTTGGATCGCCACCTGGGGCGGTTACAAACGTAACTGCCGCCGTTATGGTTTTACTAGCACCAGCTTCAAAAATTCCGAAGGACAGAAGTTGGAAAGCGGCAAAAGTATTGATTTAAAACATAACCCAGTAATTGCCCGAGTTTATTGCAGATCGTGATGGCAAAAGTAGACACATTCCTAGACGCGCTAATCAATTATGACAAGGAAAACATCCATCCTGAGATAATTAAAGCGATAGAACCCTACCTTAAGGATCCTGAGTTTGACCCAGAGTTTATTAGGTCTAAATCTGCCGCCGCAGCCGGTTTATGTGCTTGGGCCATTAACATCATCAAATTTTTTGAAGTGTATTGCGACGTCGAACCCAAACGAAAAGCTTTGGCTCAAGCGAATGCCGAATTGGCAACTGCTCAAGAAAAACTTGCAACAATTAAAAGGAAAGTTGCGGTAAGTTCTGCGAGTGTCGAGTTACCACTATACAACCCATCGAATTCCATCACTTAGCTAAGGTTTCCCCACGGTTACCAAAGGTTGCATGTAAATTGCGCTCGTTTTGGGCTGATTTGTGCATGAACAATTAACTCTCCCTTTTTTTTAATTTCTTCTATCTCACAGGTCTGAACGAAGATTTCCGAATTCGACTAGTCCAATTTTGAAAATTAAATGCTTTATATAACAGCATCCTGCAGCTGTGCGTTGCTCTCCAGAGGTGTAGGCCTTGATGTCAGGTCTCGTGGAAAGGTACCAATGGTATAGCATTGGATGCACTGATTGCGTCTAGTGCTGAGGGTAACTTGTTCAGTTTTCTTATGGTGGTTTCTGACTGCTACAAAATGGAGGGTTATACATTGAACACCCCCACATCATAGAAGGTTTTATTTCCATCAGGGGTATCCATATTGACATCTGAAAGGAAAAAGAAAAAAAGAAATCGTCAAATGGGAAAAATTGTCGTCCTTCAGCCGTCGATTACTACCTTATAAATTGGTCCAGTTTTAAAATTGTAGGGTCATGCTCTTTCATTTGTCTATGAGTAAGGTTTTTGCTAGGATGCGTTGTTTAGAAGCCCAAAAACCTGAAGAAAGTCTCAAAATTTCCACGTTTTTGGGGTACCAAAAGTTATTCTCAACCCCTACAAGCTCAAATTACTTGGTTTGAAGACGACCTGAAGGTTTTAAATCGATTTCAGCTTTCCCCAGATCACCATGTTCCTATTTTACTGGACTATATTCAGATCTGTTTTTCAGAGCCGCGGCTCCAGCGATACTTCCCAGTTTTGATTGGCATGCAGCTTTAGTGATGTTCTCTGAAAGTGTGTTCTATCACCGATTTCGCAAATATTCCCATCTTTTCGGTTTTTCAACGGGACTATAAATATATATGTAGATGGAAATGAAAGTTCGTGATTGGTTTAAAAGCGAGGCGGAAGCAATCGAAGCCCTGCGGGCCGAAACGGACCATCTTGCTTAGATAGTACTGTAACGGGTGGTAACATAATAATAATAATAGTAATAATAATAATAATAGTTTATTGTCCTACAGAAAAAGAATCCATTTACAGGACAATGAGCACAAGTTAACATAACAAAATTAATCTTTACACAAATATACCTTGAAATAACAAAGAAAAAGAAAACCTAATAAATCCTAACTGAATATAAATTCTAAAGTAAATCACTAAACTCAAACTTAATCCAATAGCACTAAGATATCATTTTGGGAATGGAAATTTATATCTGCCAACCTAGGTAATTTACTAAACAACTTAACAGAGTAATGTATAGGAGATTTAAACAGCAAATTGGTGTTAGGTGTTGGAACAAAGAAAGTGGAGTTACTACGAGAAAAATAAGGTGGAACATAAAAGGAGAGAAGTGCGACTAGATCAGGACAGTCGATCTGATCATGTAAAAGTTTGTAAAATAAATCATAACATGTAGGTAAGATGGAAGTTCACTAAAATTATACTTGCGGAAGAGCGAGGTTAGCATAAAAAGTATCGAAAATTACTCGCTTGAGAGTACGGACGCTTTTGTGAGAATTTCAAGTGTAGAAGAATCCAAGTAAAAAAGTTTATTTAAAAACCTCATTCATGATTTTGGACTTTCTGTCCGTTCATCCATCCGTCCGTCTTGTGTACATGACACTCGTGAACGGTTTCGAATTTTCAAATTCTGTTTTCGCTATTATGTTTATCACATCATCACACAAGGAAGAACTGATTACATGTTCAGTGACTCAGGAGCTCCTTTGCTATATTTGTTACAAGTTTATTAACGAGCGACAAAAGCGAGTTCATGATTTTGGACTCTGTCCGTCCGTCAGTTCGTCCATCTGTCCGTCGGTCTGTGTACATGGTTACTCACGAACGATTTCGAATTTTCCAATTCTGTTTTCTAACTGAACTTGTCAACCGGAAGTGACCTTGTCGGTCGTCTATATTGGTGTAGTTTTTAAATTACATACCTCCGTTACTCTTGAGCACAAAACGAGCGCAATTCACCCTGCAAACTGAAATATTGGTACATTATCAGATTAACAGTTCATATAGTAAAGCAAGAAACGTGGGATTTGGCACATGGGTTTAGGGGGAACAGTTTCATTCGCGTCAATAATTCGTAATCATTACAGTCGTTGGAAGAACAACTGGCGAAGCTAACCGCCGATTTTGAGCAAGCAACCGCTGAGAAGCTGAGATGCCAACAGGAAGCCGATGCAACTAACGCAACAATAGCCCTCGCAAACCGATTAGTGGGCGGATTAGCTAGCGAAAACGTGAGATGGGCGGAGGCCGTAAACAAGTAAGGCCAATTCACTTCGCAATACAATAATAATCGTCATTTTTCAGTTTCACCCTTCAGGGAACGATGCTTCCCGGAGACGTCTTACTATTAACAGCGTTTGTTTCATACGTAGGTTGCTTTACCAAGCAGTACCGCCAAGACCTGCTACAGAAAATGTGGCTTCCTTACATGAAAAACTTAGATGTGAGCCTTTCGTCTTTAGTCTCTAGCGTAACAGTCCATTTTAGCCTCCCATTCCTATAACAGAAGGATTAGATCCTTTATCACTTTTAACCGATGACACTCAAATTGCTATGTGGCAAAATGAGGGACTTCCAAGCGACAGAATGTCGACCGAAAACGCCACCATTCTTTCAAACTCAGATCGATGGCCTTTATTGATAGATCCCCAGCTTCAAGGCGTCAAATGGATAAAACAAAAGTATAGTGAGAGTTTAGTGGTCGTGCGATTGGGGCAAAAGGGTTACTTAGACACGATGGAAAAAGCAATAACTGGCGGCGCTACAGTGCTGGTAGAAAGCATTGGGGAAAATCTAGATCCGGTTCTCGATTCACTGTTAGGAAGAAACTTAATTAAAAAAGGAAAGTAGGTGCACCGAGACGAATTAGAACAGGACTAAAATTAACTTTTAGAGCAATCAAAATGGGTGACAAGGAGATCGAGTACAACCCAAACTTTAAGCTCTACCTGCAAACAAAACTTGCCAACCCCCACTACAAACCAGAAATGCAAGCTCAAGCGACGCTAATTAACTTTACAGTCACAAGAGACGGTTTAGAAGACCAATTGCTGGCAGAAGTAGTAAAAGCGGAACGGCCAGACTTGGAAGAGCTTAAAGTAGGTAGCTGCATCGCAAATTACGTCATCCTGTAACGCATTCTAGGCCGAATTGACCAAACAACAAAATGACTTCAAGATAATGTTGAAGACCTTAGAGGACGACTTACTTTCAAGATTATCGTCTGCTGGAGGCAACCTATTGGGAGACACGAGTTTAGTAGAGAATCTAGAAACAACAAAACGAACTGCGGCCGAAATTGAAGAAAAAGTAATAGAAGCAAAAACTACCTCTCGCCAAATTGACCTCGCGAGAGAGTACTACAGACCTGCTGCCGCCAGAGCCAGTCTGCTGTACTTCATTCTGAACGATTTGAATACTATAAACCCCATCTACCAATTCTCGTTAAAGGTTGGATCTATTCACAATGAAACTCTTACAAATTGTCTCCATCTGCAGGCATTCAGTGTCGTGTTCCAGAAAGCAATCGCAAAGGCTCTTCCTTCAGATGACGTAGCAATTCGAGTTAACAACTTAATCGATTGCATCTCCTTTTCGGTATTTCAGTATACGTCAAGAGGACTGTTTGAATGCGACAAGCTTATTTTTGCGTCGCAAATGTGTTTTCAAGTGAATTTCAAATACTGCTAATATTATTGAGCTGAACTTTACCTTTCAGATTTTATTGATGAGCGAAGAAATATCTTCTGCCGATTTAGATTTCCTTTTAAGATTTCCAATTAAACCGCATGTAACGAGTCCTGTAGATTTTCTTTCTAATTCCAGCTGGGGTGGTATTTGTAGCTTATCAACAAAGGACGAATTTCGTAACTTGGACCGTGACATCGAAATTTCTCCTAAACGATGGAAAAAGCTAGTCGAATGCGACTGCCCAGAAAGAGAGAAGTTTCCGCAGGAGTGGAAGAATAAAACCGCTTTACAAAGATTGTGTATGATAAGGGCTTTTAGACCGGATCGCATGACTTATGCTGTTGCGTAAGTGCAATGCTATTTGATTGCGTGTTCCTAATGTATACTACAGGACGTTTATTGAAGAAAAATTGGGCCCCAAATACGTTGATAATAAAACGATGGAATTTGAGAAATCGTTTGAAGAGACAAGCCCCTCCACTCCAATCTTCTTTATTCTCTCACCCGGTGTGAATCCCCTTAAGGACGTTGAGACGCTTGGCGAAAAACTGGGTTTCACATCTGACCAACAAAATTTTCACAACGTTTCCTTGGGACAAGGGCAAGAGGTGGTCGCTGAGCAAGCCATGGATATCGCTGCCCAAAAGGGGCATTGGGTTATTTTGCAAAATATTCATCTTGTGCGTAAATGGTTGCCAGTTCTGGAAAAGAAACTGGAATATTACGCGGAGAACTCGCATCTAAATTACAGAGTTTTCATGAGTGCAGAGCCCGCAGCTACACCTGAAGCACATATTATTCCCCAGGTGAGTTAGGGCGGAATATGTAGTTTTAAATTGGGTCTACGGTTTTAGGGAATTCTTGAATCATCAATTAAAATAACTAACGAACCCCCTACGGGAATGCAAGCCAATTTGCACAAGGCGTTCTCCAACTTTAATCAAGAAACGTTGGAGCAGTGTGGAAAGGAGGCCGAATTTAAAGTCATCCTTTTCGCGTTATGTTATTTTCACGCCGTTGTAGCAGAGCGCAGGAAATTTGGTCCACAGGGTTGGAATAAAATATACCCATTTAATGTCGGTGATCTAACCATTAGCGTCTTTGTTTTGTTTAATTATTTAGAAGCGAACTCCAAGGTACCTTGGGAAGACTTGCGGTATCTATTTGGAGAAATTATGTATGGTGGCCATATTACCGATGACTGGGATAGGAGATTATGTATTACATATCTGGAAGAGTTACTGCAGCCTGACCTTGTCAGATTGAAAGCATAGCCCTTGCTCTTCTATATTTTGTGTTTGCAGGTTGACGGTGAATTGTTTTTGGCGCCGGGATTTGCCGCTCCTCCCAATACCGATTACGTTGGTTACCATGCGTACATCGATGACGTCATGCCGCCAGAATCTCCCTACTTGTATGGTCTTCATCCCAACGCCGAAATCGGTTTTTTAACTACGACAGCTGAAAATTTATTCCGCACGGTTTTTGAAATGCAACCGAGAGACGCAGGCGCTTCGGGAGGAGCCACAATTACGAGAGAGGATAAGGTAAATGGGTCAAATCTTACCACTGGGTCAATTAGCTCTCGTCTAGGTTCGGCAAATAATTGACGAAATGATTGAGAAGCTACCAGAGGACTTCAATATTGTGGAAATTATGGGTAAAGTAGAAGAACGAACTCCCTACGTAATTGTCGCCTTTCAAGAATGCGAGAGAATGAATTTTTTAATGGGTGAAATAAAAAGGTCTTTAAAAGAACTTGATCTTGGTTTAAAGGGCGAACTTACCATAACGTCCGATATGGAAGATCTTGAAAACGCTTTATTTTTAGATCAAGTACCTGTGAGTTGGAGTAATAAAGCCTATCCATCACTGCTAGGGTTAACCCCTTGGTTTGCTGATTTACTGTTAAGAATACGAGAATTGGAAACGTGGTCTACGGATTTTGTGGTATTAGGTGGTGTAGTAAGGTATGAAACTGTATTGCCGTTGTAGCTACCTTCTTCGGTGTGGTTAGGAGGTTTCTTTAATCCTCAGTCCTTACTTACAGCCATTATGCAGAGCACTGCACGAAAAAATGAACTTCCTTTAGACAAAATGTGTTTGCAATGCGATGTCACAAAGAAACATAAGGAAGAATTTACGTAAGATTTTGTGAGGAAAGACACCATACTTTAACACACTTTCAGGAGTGCCCCTCGTGATGGAGCTTACGTGCACGGGCTTTATATGGAAGGTGCCAGATGGGATGTGCAAGCTGGAATAATTATGGATTCCAGGTTGAAGGAGCTATTTCCGCCGATGCCGGTTATTAATGTGCGTGCAATAACACAAGATAAACAGGATTTGAGAAACATGTATGAGTGCCCTATGTACAAAACTCGAATGCGTGGCCCTACGTACGTTTGGACCTTCAACTTGAAAACAAAAGATAAACCAGCCAAGTGGACTTTGGCGGGTGTTGCAATTTTGCTACAAACGTAACTTTGCTTACATCTATTCATTGAATTTACACGATGATTAATAGTTGAATGTTCCCATTAAAGACATCTTATTTGATTGGCGGAATCTCATTAAATCAGTAAGGCTACTAGCAACTTAGTCCGTAACTGGATTCGAAACAGGGTCTTAGATCTCACACTTGCACATAATTTTCTTCGGGTAGGTTCTCAAAGAGGCTACAATTTTTAGAAACTTTCCATAGAGATTAATTGTACCGAGACCTTTAGATATAAATAATAACATAATAACCTAGGATAATAATTATAGAAGTGGCCCAAAAGCATGAACTTCGTTTTTTTATATGCTTATTGCTTATAACAGAAGTTTCTATGCCAACTGGTTCGAACCTTAGACATGAAAACCAGGGAGCGAATCTAGGGATAGGCTCTTTCAGTACGTGGAGCAGCATTTAGAGGAGGTTTCCGGAGGAGCGAACTTTGTAATGTTGAGTCTTTCCACCATGATGCATATCTTTGCGTTTAAGTACTCCGAACATAACATCACAGCTTTATTGAAACTGTTAATATTTTTGCTAATGATTTGACAATTTCATTATAGGTACAATAGTACAGTAAAAATATAGTGTATAGTATATAGTAATATAATAGCTACAATTCGTAATTTCGGCAATCTTGATCTCCATGAAAAACCTCATTCAAATAATCGAACTGTTTTTCCTCATAAACTCCGTGTACACAAATAGATTTCTGAATAAAGCACCGGTTCCACCTACGCCTATCTTGAAAGGCGTCATAATTAATTCTGGGTATGTTTATGTTAGTAGCTACTATTCCTGTTATGAACACATCTTCCCACTTGAGAATCTGGTGGTACAGGGCTGCGTAGTAAAAATCGGTTGCCAGGCGTGCAGGCATTAGGTAAGCATGTCCCACGGCATAGTCTGGGTATACGTGAAGTTTGAACTCCTTATACGTCAGGTAATGCTTTGCTCTCTTTAGACGACTGGGTGCTGCATGTGTAGTTATACGTCCATAAATGGCTCGTTTCCATCGCTTAAGTGTCGATATATATTGTAATAAGCGAGGTACGTTAATAAACATATCGTCATCACTCTTCAGCAGAAAGTCGGCTTTCGGACAGCAAGACTTTACCCATCCTAGCATTGTTATACTTTTAAGGGTCAAGTTATTGTACGTATCTATAAAATGGGCAAACAGAATATCTTCATATTTTTCGTGCTCTACTCTAATTTGTTTAGTCATCTTCCATGTTCTTGCTTTTCCGATAAGAAAAAACAACGAAACATCCGTTCTTGTTGCATAGCGTCCCCATGTTCGTCTTATTGTCAAGCGAGCACGCTCGTGAGATGGAGCTGATTGAACTATTATAACAAGCTTCGTACCACTTCCTTTCCGTGAGCAAACCAAAGGTTTAGTTAACTCATAATTTGTTTCACTCCCTCTCGTTCGTGTCCACAATGAAACCATGAGCTTTTTAATATTTGCTGGCGACCATGGTCCAGGAGTCGGTGCAGCGTAGTGTTTAGCATGTTTACCGGGTTCAGCAACTGCATGATTCTGTAGGTCTAGATATCGACTTTGACGCGCTGGTCTAACTACGAAGATGTGATACAACAGTACAGCCGCATTCATCACACAAACCAAAATAATAAACTTCATCACCTCTTGTAAACAGGGAGCCATTTCTGGAAGGAAAATTTAACATATCAGAACATATATCAACCACCAACTATGTTCACGAATTTTCTGCATAAATTCTATGGAGCTAAGGTACAATTGCACTTACTGTGTGTGATATTTCTTCAATAAAAAGAAGCAAATCTTCGAAATCCAAAACATAAACAGGAGCAATTTGAAATTTATGTGACACTAACAAACGTTGTCAGGTTGACAGTTGCTTACCTGGTGACTTAGATCAATTTGCACATGCTACTTCTGTGATGATTATATGCCAATGCGTGGTAGTTTATGCAGGTCCTTTGGCCTAAAACCGACATTGGCCATTACAGTGGTCAGTGCCTGCCGCATAAGTGCACACAATGAGATTACGTAACGTAACATGTGATAACTTTATTTAGGGATGTTTAAAAACCGAATTTGCGATTTTATGCGTACATTCCCCCACCCTTGTTTGTCTGTTTCGACGAAGATGTGCAAGTTAACCTGGAGGGAAAATAAGAGAGTACTTACTAGTGTATACAGAGTGATACATATAAGTATGTAAAAAAAATTGGTTGGTAGAGGGGAACAAAACAAGCATTTTTTCCAAATAAACCACGGGTTCAATGTCTTTCGTTTGGGAGCCATCCTCAAAAAAGTGGTGAAATTGGCGTTTCTTCCATAATTTTTTTCTCAGCAACCATAGGAGTTACCAAGCCTGGTGATACCTTGAAGGTTTGGGGTATTTTACAAAAATAATTTTAAAATTCCTATCCCGAAAGGGCGCATGCGAAACAAATTCTAGTTTCGAAGAAATTTGGTATCTGGGGGCTTTTGAACATGAAAATCACGAATCTGGAATTAGTTTTTGAAACATTATAATATATTTACTTCACAGCACTACGTCTGTACTCCGAGCTTCCCTGAAAGGCTGAAACCATGCTGGTTTTGTGCCGCGGAAACCAGGAAGGGACGATTTCTAATCAATGTTGCCATGTAGAAAGAAAAAAAAGGTATAGCCATCAAGGTTTGACCACCAGAAACAGGGATAGAGACTTAATCAATCAATTTGAAGTGATTGTAACGTGTAAATTTAGCAAAGTCAAAAGTTGCCGCAGATCTACCAGAAAAAAAAGATTTTAGCTTGTAGAATCCAAAAAACTATCAATTTTTTGATGACCATAAGAGTGATGAAGAGTATGTAGCGCTAAGAAAATTACCTTCTCTTTCAAATTCAGCAAAAATGGAAGTTGTTGCAGATAGACCACTAAGAGACGATTTCCAATAAATGTTGAATCCAAAACAATTATAGCCACCAAGATCTGATTACCAGAAATAGAGATAGGGCCATCAATTCGAATAGTATATTCATTTGGAACATACCTACTCTCCTAGTTAGAACAGATTAAGGAAATATAACCTTCAAGAATAACACAGAATAAGGAAACACTTTATTACCAGGAAGAATTGTTACCGCGTTACCACAAGGGTTCCGGTCCCAGTGAAGTGCTACATTTTGAAGCCATGGAGATGGAAAAGCTGGTCACGGAGCGGTTCGAGATCGCAACGTTTCCACAAGGCCACTCGCAGATCATGGACCAGGACATGGGCACTACGCCAAACAGTATACAAGCGTCTACACTTCGCCCTGTCAACAGCAGCTCCGGAACGGCAAGCCAAGGCGTAATGGTATTATCGTTTTAATATCCGACGGGACAGCGATGGGAACAAACGCACGGCCATTCGGTAGGGCCGTAGGGCGAGGTTTCCTTTCCCCGCCCAGCCTGGGCCATACGCACCTAGACTTCTGTACACAGCAAATGAGATTTGATCGGCTTATGACATTTATCCAGAACACACAGCCCGAACTGGATGAGGAAAGTTCTAACAAATGTTGGAATTTTAAACAGAGGGGGATAGCCAAGAAGCGCAAGACCAGATTGTGGTAAGCAGAAACTCATTATACGAAACTGCAAAGGGCACAGTTCACCAAATCGTGATCGCGATCTGCGAGAAAGAATCACGAGAGAAAAGTAGCTACGAGCCAAAGAAGAAGCCATAAGTAACTTGGATGGGTTCAGGGAAAACAAAAGCCGCCATAGAGGAAGCGATCCCCAGTCACAGCCACGTGTCCATTACAGACGAGGCCGCGCTGACAAAAGTCTGGGAAATTGAAGAAGGCCAAACCCAAGATGCAGCCCTATCGCAGGAAGATGACTTCTCGCTGAAAGAAGACGCTGAGGAATTGACACAGGCGGTTTTCTTCTACAGACCGAATCCAGGTTCAAGGTCCTGCGAGAGTATGAAAAGCTAGGACCTATGGTATCTCGAAATGCAGGGGTGGCATCCTCGGTGTTAAAAGAGGAAAGCTCCGCCACAACACTACGAATCAGCCACCTCCAGTTTGGGAAGAATCCAGACCGAAGTGCTGCCAACAACGTGGCCCCGATGAATTTAAAGAAAACCCTACCGCGGGTAGAGCTTGTTGGAATAGTACTGGTGACCAAGCTTTTAACAGGAACAAACAAACCCCCAACCTCAAGAGAGTCAGTCCTTTCCTGGATGCAATGGGACTACTAAGTGCCAGATCCAGATGGCACTAACTCACATTTCCATTGGTGCGACGAAAATACTGGACATTGAGAACAAGAAAGCTAGTCCGCCGGGAATGCAGAGGCTGCATACGCTGTCTGCAATTCAACTAGAACACGATGCGACAGTTAGGGGGAATCTCCCATCACCATCAGTATGAGTAAATATAGCACACCCTTTCGGAACCGTGGAACCGGACTACGCAGAGCCTAAAAAAGGGGAATCGAGCTGGAAGAGACCCGTATCACCCCAAAAACGACCTTTATCAGTTAACAATCTTCGAACTTCGAATTCACTTGGTGTAAGTTCGCTTGGGCACAAATATACGCAAAGAACGTATACCTGGGGCTTGGGTTATTATTCTTCAAAGAAATGCTTCTGGAGTTGATCTTGTACAGTTTTGCTCCGATTAGTTTCGAACTGGTGTCGTCGGAAAGCTTTTGTAAACGCGCACAAGTGCGTGTTGCAATTTTGTTTTAACCACCTTTTGCAAGTCGCGCGTCTTCAAGGGGTAGGTAGTCGACTTGGAGCGCCCAAAAGTTACCTTCCATTGCGAATTTTTTCACGCGGTATAAAGTTTTTTAAATCTGAAGCCGCGTCCTCTTTTTCCCATGTCGCCAATAGAAGCTCGAGCTTTGAGAAGTGCCTCAAAATTCAGTACTATTTTGTGGAGCGTTTTTAGCGAAATCCACTAAAATGGCGCATTTACATATATGATTATGGGGGCGTCAGGAGCGGGTACCGACAAAGTGAATGTGGTAGCCTCCGATATCTTACTGATGGTGGGATCAAAAGGTTCCAAACCAAACAAATTTTGGTCGTAATGCAAAGAATTTGTCTGGATGATCACGGTCAACGGAATTTTTCATTTCTAGATATCCATATTTTGTATGAGCTTTTGATATTTAATTAGCTTTGACGTCAAGATTTGCGAAAGTTTGATCATATTACATCCTTTTTAATGCACCTCAACGTGTAGCAGAGACCTTGGGGTGAAAAGTACCGATTATGCAGCTTTAGATTGCGTAACGGCTTTGAACACATTTGGGATTGGCAGTAACCAAAGACATTAACCAATAAAGAATTAGGCATCGCCATTTTGAAAGCTAATTCGCCATTGTGAACGTGAAACAATTACATAAGACATAAGAGCGGGAGGATTATTTTTTGCGAACTTGAGAGATTCACGTTTTCGCTTTTTAAGTGACCGGTTTTGGTACCGATAATAGAGAGATTGGCTTTTTGGTCGTAGGAGTGAAAACAGCTTATTAACATTGTATTATACGATGCCAATTTTTTAAGGTTCCTCTCAAAAGGTTAAACCGTTATGACCGGGAACCGTAATTTCCGAAATTTTCGGAAGCTTAAGTCAGAGAAATTAATTAACTTTATTGAAACTGCCGATTTCGGAATTACAAGGTAATATCACAAATATAACATACAACATTAATGAAATACCAAATAATATTTGCATTTTTTGTTTC